TCATCCAACTTACAATAGGGACAGACACTTACATGAAGTTTGATATCTGTCTGGCACTATTCACATTCTTTATATGTTAGGTTAACTTTTGCTGCATAAAAAAAGTGCCCTAAAATGTAATAGCTTAAAACAACAAACATTTATTAGTTTTCATGGTTCTGTGGTCAGTTGGGCAGTGCTTCTGGTCTGAACTGGCTTGGCTGATTTCTCCTGGGTTCTCTATTGTATCTGCAGTTAACTAATAGCCCAGTCGGGGCTGGATGGTCTAGGATGGCCTCACCCACACATCTGGCTGTTGGCTGGATGTCAGCTGGTGCTACAGGGATGACTGGGCACCTGGCTGGTTATCTGGGAAGCTAGCTCATGCATTTTCTCAAGGTGGCTGGGTTCCAAAAGCAGCAAGAGAGCAAGTCCCAGTATATATGTCTTGACAGTTCTCTGCTCGTGTCTTGCTTGCTATGTCCTCTGTTGTTAGGGATGCCAATACGCAGATGCTAAGGCAGCATTAGGTATGCAGGAGATTCATTGCCAAAAATCCTGTAAGGGAAAAGTGGGTGGGGAGCCACAGGAGGCTGGGGCTATCAGATGGTGCTGCAGGTCTGACCCTTAGGAAAGAGAGAAGGAAGGAAGGAAGGTTGGCTAGGAAGATTCTAAGGCTGCCACAGCTCGGAGAAAGCTTTGGCCAGGCCAGTGGGAAGTCTGATCAAAGTCACCGCTAGGCTTTATTCATCTGTTCTGTGCTATCCCATTCAGCACAGCAGCGGTAGTTGGAACTACTGCTTAAGTCTATAGCAACAATCCCTTTGTGGAAGGACTAGAATTATTGTCCCACTGAGTAGCACAGTGTTTTCTCTTAGGAATCTGGCTACCTCTGTAGTCAGTAGGCTGTTGATCTGAAAATAGGCTCAGATAGAGAAACAGCAAAGGATCATGACTTTTTATTGAGGTGATCCCCCTTAGCCTCCTGCGTCTCCATTTGTCTCTCTTTTTTATTGTAGAAACTAAACAGTACCTTTGTCGTCTGTTCACCTCCCCTGCCATGTCTTATCGGCCATCCCCACAGCTCCCTGCACATGAAGCGCCCTTGGTTGTCTCTCTGACCTTGTCAGTCATTATTAATTGTAGCCTTTTGACTTCTAGCAGCTAAATACTGCAACCTAGATTTTATTACTTCGGGCCTCATCTTCCCTGTGGACACTGGTGGCCCAGCTCTGTGGAATCGCCCTGGGCCGCAGAGAACTGCCCCTGAACTTCGGGTGACGTGGCTCCCTCGCACCTGTGCGTTCCCGGCGCCTTGGTGAATGTGTTTTCCCTGGGCCCTCCCATGAAAAATAATATTCTGTGTTTTCTGGCTTGACCCAATATACCCATTCCCCCTGTCTTCTATTCTTTTCTCTGTCATCTGCCAGGGCAGTTGTATGTTTTTATTTTAACATTGGCTATCACTTTTCCAGGCCTCTAATAGTATTCTAGCTGCAAGTTTGCCCCATCCCCTGGTATTCTTGTCCAAAACTGTGTCCCCAAATCAATGAATCCACTTTTCTAGTCTTATATTGAAGCCTCCTTGATTAAGCATCTTCAAAATCAAAAGCTTGAGGTACTTCATGGCTCCTGCCAGTAGCTGCTAGGTAATTCTTCTTCTTCTTTTATCCTCACCCGAGGACATTTTTGCATTTATCTTCACATCGAGCAGTAGGGAGAGAGGGAGGGAGAGAGAGAGAAACATCAACTGGTTGCCACCCACATGACCCCAACTGGGACCAGGGACAAACTGCAACCGAGGTACGTGCCCTTAGTGGGAACGGAACCTGGGTCTCTGGTCTGCGGGCCAACCTTCTAACCGCTGAGCCAAACTGGCCAGGGCTGCTAGCTAACTCTTGCATCTCTTTTGGTGTGTGATCTCTTTCCTCCCTTATCAGTCCTAGCCAATTCCCCAACTGAGTGATGCTAGTTATTGACATAGCAGCTAGGAGAACAGGTAGGGAAAGGTCCTAACAGAAGGACCTGCTGCCTTGGGGGGAAGGGTCACTTGTAGCATCTTCTAGCACAAAGGACATTCTAGCTCTTACTAGGCACGAGCAGGCCACCTCTGTAAGCTGTGAGTGTCCCAGGGGCTCTGCAGACCCAGCATGTCATGGGCATCCATCCAAATATCCTATCCTTATGTTTCAGGGTCTCAGGTTTTCCTAGCCAGAGCCCTGACCTTAGAATAACAGACCTGCCTTGGCTGAGCATTTAAATGTCTCTGGAGCTCCGTAAATCTAACTGCCAGATCTCTTTTGTTTGTGCTCAGCTGTGTGTACTCTTCCACTGCAGCAGATGAGGGTCTCTTTGGAAGGCACTAAATTGGCCCTCTGGTTCTCCCACTTAGTCTTTAACTGTTACTGGCCTTCAGTTTCTCATTATCCCTCTGCAGGGTATTCGTACGACTTAGCAGTAACCAGCCAACACTATTGTCTTTGTCATCATTCCTCTCATATCTTTTAAATGCCTACAACATATTGCCTACGAGGACATTCCTCTGCACCAGAAAGTTTTCTCTGGTCACCTCCAGTGAAATCTGTAGTGATTGGATCACTATTAATTGTTAGAGTATATTTTCGCTCTACATTCTTCTTAGGACAATGCCCTCTTTCCCTACTAGGCAGTGAATGAGGCAGTGTCCAGGATGCTTATCTTGCCACCTGGTTGTCGGATCACTCCGGGTGCCACTTGAATTAGTCTGGGTCCTCTGAGAAGCAGGCACCAAGACAGAATTAACGGATAAGAGATTTGTTGGGGACAGGCCTGTAAGGGGAAGTGGGGAGGGGGCCTGAGAAGGCTGGAGAGTTAGAGCACGATGCATGTCATACCCTGTGAAGGAGAGAGGACAGAAAGAAGTGTTAAATGTCCATCAGCTGATGAATGGATAAATAAAATGTGGTACATCCATACAATCGAATTTTTTTTGGCAATAAAAAGAAATGAAGTACTGATATATACTACAACATGGATGGACCTCAGAAACATGCTACGTGAAAGAAGCCTGTTACAAAAGATTACATGTTGTGTGATTTCATTTCTATGAAATGTCCAGATAAATATACGGAGACAGGAACTGGATCAATGGTTGCATAGGGTGAGGGTTAGGGGAAATGGGGAGTGATTGCTCTGTGTACGAGGTTTCTTTTTGGGGAAATAGGAATGTTCTAAAATTGATTGTGATGATTCTCTCTCAACTCTCCGAAAACATTAGAAAACACTGACCTGCATACTTTAAGTAGGCAAATTCCATGGTGTGTAAAATATATTTCAATAAAACTTATATTAAAAGAAAAGGAAGACAAAGACAAAGGAGGGTTGTGCAGAAAGAGTCTTAGACTATAGCACAATGCCAAGAAAGTTTCAGTCAGGCTGGTTAGGGGTTCTTTTTTTTTATCCTCACCTGAGGACTTTTTTTTTTTTTTTTTTTTTTTGCATTTATCTTCAGATAGAGCGGGAGAGAGAGAGAGAGAAGCATCAACATGAGAGAAACACATTGAGTGGTTGCCACCCACACAACCCCAACCAGGGCCAGGGACAAACTGCAACCGAGGTACATGCCCTTAGCGGGAACCGAACCCAGGACTCTCCGGTCCACTGACCGCTGCTCTAACCGCTGAGCAAAACCAGCCAGGGCTAGTTAGGAGCTGTTTACCCTCTGCGCTCAGTCGTTGGCATGGAGCAGCCCTTGGAAAGCCTGGCCTGGTCACAGAGGCAGCGAGAGTACCAGTCAGTCACACTTTCACAGTGGGAGATCTGAGAGCACGTCTTCACGGCCCCTATCCTGAAGCCCAAGAAGTCACATGTCCAGTCCCAGACTCAAGGTGGAGGGAAAGAGATGCCACGGCTTGCTGAAAGAACAGCAAAATTCTGTTGTAAGGAAGTGTGCCACACTTGTGTTAACTCGTTAAATTCTCCAGCAGCTTATGAAGTGGGTTCTGTTATTATTCTCATTCAGTAGGGGGGGGGGGCATAGAGAGATTAACTAGCTAGCACAGGATCATGTAGGTGGTAAGTGGTGGAGTCTGGATTTGAACTCATCAGTTTGGCTCCACAGTCTGTGCCTTTTGTCGTTTTACCATATGGGCATATAAATATATTAATTTTAATATTATTTTGAATACTTTGAGAATCAATTGGAGAGGTTTAACTGTTCATTTCCCCTCACTGAAATGAAGACTTCATGAGAATAGGGAGTTGCAGATGACAGTTCTGATACTTTTGTATACATCATCCTCATTATCCTCTTCCAGGTCTCCAAAATCAGAGAAATAGGAAGTCATTACGTTCAGTCTAGACCTATATTTATTCAATTTTTAAGTCTTGGTACTTAAAAAAATCTTGGCATGTTTTTAATCCTGGTATAGTAAGTAACCCTAATATATGATTGAAAATATAGAGTTGATTGCAATTTCTTGGTTATCACTAAGCTTGAAATGAAAATAAAAATGTATGAATGAGAAACTGTATCAATTGAGGGAGTCCTAGGAAGGGTTTGAGAGGACCATCAGGGTTGATAGATAGCGTGGCATTTGCTTCATCCTGCTCTCAGAGTCTGTGTTTTTGTAGCATAAATTGTGTTTCAGCAACTTTCTGAGAGGGGCACCCACAGCAGACTTAATAAATTTGTGGCAGGGAGATAGTAGGTCAAATGTCATGCAGTCTCTTTGTGAGTTGGGGAGAAGAGCAGGTGTGAGACAGTGTGTAGAGCATGTTATTTAAAGATCAGTACACTCGGAAAGAGAAAGATCAAGCAATTTGACCAGGGTTGAACTAAAATGTAGTAAGTTGAAACTGTAGGCTAATTCAGCTTGGCTGTAGGACCAGGATTCTTTTCATTAGCTTTTTCTCTGTCTTCAGCTCAGCAATTCATTTAAATCATTTCACTTAAAATAGTTCATTCCACTGTTTCTATTAATTACAAAACATATTATGATCATCTTGAGGCCATTTTTCCTCTTGAACTGATGAACACACATCACAGCAATAGGTGGATGTTGGGATCCAGGCAGACGCTAGATGTCAACTCATGGACCATTGGTACCGCCACAAAATGTGTGGGCAATTTAGGATTTCAAGAATGAAAGACTTTGAATTTCAGGAAGTGACAGACATTGTGGAATACTTCAAATAAAAGACTTTGTAGAAGACATCACATTTCTCTTTGAGAATTTGGCAGACTGCATTGGAGAAGAAAAACCAAAATTAGTCCACAGAAGGCAGGACCAGGACTTACAAGTAGATGTTAGAAGGAGGGCATCTTGGACCCATTTTAAGAAAGGTGTTGCCAGTCAGAGCCATAGAAATGGACTGACGCTGCTTGTTACCTGTACAGCAAGGGGCGGGCTCCATGACCATCTGCTCAGAAGGGCTTTAGGGACAGGTTTACCATTTGGGTATTTGTACTGGATGATCTCAGAGAAGGCCTTTAAAATTCTAGGTTTTTGTGCTTGCATTTTCCATCAGTGTGAACATCTGAGACTCAGTACTCTCCAAATCATAACATCAGGCACTCCTAGAAATAGGAAACCCGTATAAAAGGAGTTAATAGCTCAGTTTCCCTGAAGGACCGTGCTCTGTGCCTAGGGTCATTGATTATAAAAACAGGTACAGGACAGGTGCAGCTCTGGATTTCCGAATTGTGTTTTCAGCCAGGTTGACTTTGTTTCAGAGTGCGAGGGTATTTGTCATCACAGACTGGTCAAGTGTCGCTGTTCTATGCAGTTAAAAATCCCCTCTGGCTATTTATTTTATTTAATAATTAAACTTTTGTTGCTGGTTAAAGTGAAGTGAGTAATAAAAGAGCACTTTTGACACAAAATCTGTGAGCTGTCCATCTCATGTAAAGATATTTTGGCTCTTTATTTCATTAGTTCCTTTAAAAGAGGAAATAGATTTGATTATTCTGAGTGCAATCTCTCCCTGTCCTTGAAATATTAATATGCTGCCATTTGTTGTTACTTTAAAGGATGTTGCACTACGATGTAAATCCATACAGTGATAGAAAATATCAGGGGACATCAGGGAGACAGGGAGGGTCTTATTTTGTGGCATATTCACTCTTTCTGCATTATAAATACTGAATTGTCAAACTTTTGAAACACCCAACCTCCAATATAATGACCCTTTAAAGTAGTACCTACATGAGGAGACATAAAAGTGTAGCAGATGAATGTTCAGTAAAGGCAGTTTTTATTAGATCAAGGCAAATCACCTTTGGTCAGAATCCCATCTCCCATCCAGTTCATGGTATTGTATTTACACTGTCACCTGTAAGATTCAGCAGAATCTTTTCTTAAGTTTTGAAACAGATCCCTTTTTCTTCACTGAGCACCACATGGCCTTATCCTTTAAACCCTAGAACCTCACTCAGGAAAGTAAAAAGCACAGGGGAAGCAAGACCGGTCAGGGAGCAGCAGATTCCCAGCCCCCGCTCGTCCCCTCCCTGGAGCCACAGGGTTGCACTTAGACGGTCAGATGGAGCTCCCTGCTTGCTCCTGGCTCATGCTGAGGCTTGTGATATGATGCCTATGGATTCTACACCTTTTAAAGTTCCTTATCCTGCTTTACTGGCATATGTGTGTATGTGGATTTATATTTTTTAATATTGGCATTCAAGGTCTATTTTTCCTATTAATAATAAAAAGTACATATTGATCAGTTAGTCAGATTATAAAATATTATGTATTTGTCAGGTTTTGTCTTTTCCTTAAGAATCATATTGCTAGCCCCAGCTGGGTGGCTCAGTTGTTTGGAACATCATCCAGTACACCAAAAGTTGTAGGTTCGATCTCCAGTCAGGGCACATACCAGGGGCAACCGATTGATGCCTCTCTTGACGTTTCTCTCTCCCCCTCCCCTCCACCTTCCTCTATTTCTAAAAATCACTAAATATATCCTTGGTGAGTATTAAAAATAAAAAATAAAAAGAATCCCTGGTCAGTTTGGCTCAGTGGTTAGAGTGTCAGCTTGTGTACCAAAGAGTCACGGGTTCAATTCTGGCCAGGGGCATGTACCTTGGTTGTGGTTCATCCCTGGTCCTGGAGGGGGTCGTGTGGGAGGCAGCCAATAGATGTGTTTCTCTCACATTGATGTTTCTCTCTCTCTCTCTCTCTTTCTCTCTCTCTCTCTCTCTCTCTCTATCTCTATCTCTATCTCTCCCAACTACCACCTTCCACTCTATCTGAAGATAAACAGAAAAATATCCTCGAATGAGGATTAAAAAAAAAGAATTATATTGCTGGAATTGACCTTAGAAATCTCTAATGCAATCATTTACTTTATAGAAGATGGGCTTATGAGCTGGGAAGGCTAAGTAATTTGTCCCTGGTCACACTGCTGGTTTTTGCCTGAATTAAGCCTGGAGTTTGTATCTCCTGGCCCTGGCCCGCTGCCTCTGTGCCGCACCATGTTGCCTCGCCTCTCATGACGTGGGGCGTCCTTCTGTTTAGATGTGCCTTTGTGTTTGTTAGCATTAAAAACAAAACATTTAAAACAGATGATCAAAGAACCAAGTTCATTTCACTGAGCGTCCACATTTAGGTACAGGAGACTTTTTGGTAATCTGTTACCACTACAATATCTTTCAAAAGTGTTTTTTACAGTTCAGTAGTTTACGACTTGATGAAATCTGACGAGGTGGCAAATTTTTCTTGTGGAGATTGGTAACAGGGTTTTGTTTTTCCGAGGAACAAAGTATTTCCGTCTTTTTAAAGTAAGCAAGCCCAGTCCTGTTACTCCCGCCGGGAGACTTGGCAGCTCCCTTTGCCTTCAGGGCAGAGCCCCAGCCCTCACTCTGCCTGCTCTGCTCAGGGCGTGCTCTGCGCCTGGTCACAGGGCACCCCACCTCCTTCCCTCCGCCAGTGGGTAACTGCTTTCCATTCTCCGAAGGCATCCAGCTCTGTCCCCGTAGGGCCTTTCAGTGTGCGTGTGCTCGTTCCCCGTTGCTTCTTAACCAATCTCCACACATTTAGTGGCTTAAAAATACCAATTTATTACTTCAGTTTCTGTAGATAAGAAGCCTGGCATGGTGGGTTGGATTCTCTTCTTAGGGTGTCACCAGGCTAAAATCACAGTATTGGCCTGGGCTGTGGCTCTCATCAGGGACCCCAGGTCCTCTTTCAGGCTTACTGGTTATTGGCAGAATCAAGATCTCTGTTTCCTTGACACATCTTTAAGTCAACAGTGGCATGTCGAACACTTGTCCTTCTCTGCGTCTCTCTGATTTGCTCTTCTCGATGGCCCCCTCTTCTGTCCTCAGCCGGGAGAAAGCTCTTCTTTTAAGTACTTATGTGACTACTCGTTCCCACCTGGGTACTCATCCAGGAGCAACCGACTGATGGATCATCTCCTCATCTTAAGATCAGCTCATTATTAACCTTCAATATACCTGCGAAGTCCCTTTTGCCATGTAAAGTACCATATCATGGGCATTGCACCCAGGACGGAGGTCTTAGGGGTCTGACCACAGTGCCGTGCTCTCTGACTGGACCACGACTCTTTTCCCTGCATCTTGCTTCCTCTTCTGCTAATTCCTACTTTATCCACTGGGTCTCTGATTTCTTTTTGCTCCTTTTTCCCCCCGTTCTCAAGTTTGGGTTGGAGCCTCTCTTCGGTGCTCAGGGATTGCTCTGTACCACCTCTCATTTTGTAAACTCATTCATATCCTTTAAGGGGACACTCAGCTCTGAGGGGGAAGGTATGTCTATCTCAGTATATGTGTGTTTCTCTGCTTAAACTGTGTCTGCCATAGTTGATGCTTAATAAAAAAAAGTTGAATCCATGAATTACTTGTATCCATGAAAGGTAGAAGCATAACTGTCTTTTTAAAAGAAAAATTTGTTTTCTTTATTGATTTTAGGGAGAGAGAAAGGGAGAGGGAGGGAGCGAGAGATAGAAACATTGATGAGGGAGAACATCGATTGGCCACCTCCTGCATGCTCCCCAGTGGGGATAGGGCCCACAGCCTGGGCATGTTCCCTGAATGGGAATTGAACTGGTGTCCTCTTGGTGCATGGTCGACGCTCATCCACTGAGCCACACCTGCCGGGCGATAACTGTCTTTAATACAAATTTCTAATACTGTAATCCAGAGGAAGAGAAAGGACATTTTTAACTATTGACAAGGTATTTAAAACAAGCAAACACAAAACTGCCTGTTTTTGTGAGGTAGTGTACTCTTCACTATTGGGAACTTTTAGATTGAAGCTCAGTAATGGGGTATCAGCGCTACTGTTGGGAGGCTGACATACATGAGCTGTTCTGTGACTCGTTCTTTGTTAGGGTTTGTGCAGGACCCATGGAAGGGGTGATGTCATTACTAGTAATGTTATTACTAGTAATGTCCCTGTCCATTCACTCTGGAAATATCCAGCTTGATGGATCTGGGGTGATTGACTCTCTAGTACTTTGGCCTGTGCTGGTTACTGAATCATAACTGAGTGGCAAGATTAGTGTAGTAGAATTACTTTTATGTCTGTGTATAAGTGGCATTGGAATGGAAAAGACTACTAACATACATGAGGAGAGGAGTATAATATAGTGTTTAAGAGCAGGCTTTTTGGTTCAGACTCCCAGCTCTACCACTTACTAGATGTGTGACTTTGGACAAGCTACTCAGGTCTCTGTGCTTCAAATGGAGATGATAATGGTAGAACCTAACGTGTAGCGTGATTGCGAGAATTAAATCAGCAAGATAATAACCTAGGTTATGATAAGCATTGTGAAAGGGTTAGCTGTCATCATTATCACCACCAGCGACATTATCCTACAGGCACATTGAAGATCGTTCAAGACCTACAACCATGGGCACAGTATCTGTCTAGTAGGTGTACAGTGAGGTTTTGGACTCAATAAATAATATGTTCAGTTGTGATTTTTATTTATATTTACTTTCAGATAACTATAAGAAATGGTCCCGATAACTATATAATGTACGTTGTAAGTGCTGCAGTTATCTTGAGTTGTTCAGAGCTTTCTAAGGCAGTCTGGAGAATATCTTCTACTGAGACTCCCCTAATCTCTTTTTTTGCCTCTTATTAAACCAATGGCATGCTATTAAAAGCGTTTTGAAATATTTTTTCCCAGAATAAAGAAAACCACAATCAGGCAAAATTAATATTTTACATGTAGACAAATGTATATCATTTTACTGGATGATAAAGTGAAAAATTCTTGCCACAAAAGTGCTCTCATCTGAATTCTGATGAGATGTTAACACTTTGCTTTCTTCTTACACAGGTTCATCCAAAATTCCATTATAAACAGGCACATGATCCGGGCACAGACACTTCTTGTGTGGCTTTTTCCTATGATGGTAATGTCCTTGCCTCTCGTGGAGGTAGGTTGAAAATGACCTTTCTGATGTGTTTCTATACATAAGATGATCATATTTAACTCTAGCACATGTTCCACTAATACCCTGGCACTTAGTAAAACTTGCTATATTTCGATTAATGCACCATTGACAGTGTGATTATTTTTTCCATTTAAAAAGCATGCCCAACCTGGCAGTATTATTTTATTAATAGGTATAAAGCACTGGCTGGTTTGCTCAGTGATTAGAGCATCAGCCCATGGACTGAAGGGTGTTGGGTTTGATTCTGGTCAAGGGAACAGCCCTGGGTTGCAGGTTCAATCCCAGGCTCTGGTTGTGGTCATGTGGGAGGCGACCAATTGATGTATCTCTCTCACATTGATGTTTCTCTCTTTCTCTTCCTCCCTCCCTTCCACTCTCTCTAAAAAAAAAAAAAATCCTCGGATAAGGATTACAACAACGACAACAAAGGCATCAAGTAAAATTTAGAAAATATGTACTTTTGTGCCTAAGTTTTAAATTTAGCTTCAAATCTTCTCTGAGTTTGAAGCCTGTGAAGATTACTTTGCCTCTGCCTCATGGAACTTTGTAGATGATGTTCTGTATTTTTTATACCATTTTATAATTCTGGGTCTGGTATTTCCAAGCCTTCTATTTGCTGACTAATGACTTTTTTTCCCCCCAGTTCAAACACTACTCAATTTAGTTTTAAAAAGTTGTATACATGGATGTTATTTTTTAATAGTTACATAGCTCTTTGTTGGCTTATTGTAAGTTTACTTATCCACACTCATATGGTTGAATAGAGGTTGTTTCTAATTTTTTGCTAAATCTTTCTCACAAGAATAAGCTGTGTGTTGATAGAAAGAATAGTGAGGGCAACTTATGAGCAGAGCGTTCTGGGGAAGTATGGGGCATGGCTGAGGGTCTTCAGAAGGCCCACCGTGGGGAGAGAAAGGAAACAGCAGGACAAGGAGTTGGAGCCATGTTACAGAAGGCCTTGCATGGTACATAAAGGGTTCAGTGTTTATTCTGGGCCACATTATCTAGCAACGCTCCATGTAGCCATTCATTCACTTCCTCAGCTACTGTTTATTGAGCAATTACTCTAAGCCAACCTTATGCTAGGTGACGGCTATGAACTATGAACAGTATCCTCAGGGCTGCTTCTCCGAGAGGATTTTACAGCCTGGGGTACGGGTGGTGGAGGTGAGGCGGAGAAACGAGATGTGCACGGCTTTCCCCCCATTTTAACCGTCCAGGTCCTTTTACCCCCAGGAATTCCACTGAGATTCTCCTTCCTTCAAAGAAGACTGTCAACTAAATCAAAGCACAAGTTCACATATTTTCTGTGCATAGTATACATGGCAAAGGTGGATATGTATCAAATATGTATTTTGGTCCATCCATTCTAACCTGTTGCTTGAGTCCTAGATGACTCTCAATTAAGACTGTATATACTCTTTACTTACAAACAGTGGTTCTTACCCTAAGCAGCTTTCTGAATCCCCTCGGAAGGTTTTTCAAATGATAAATGCTCTACTTAGAAATTCGTACAGTCTTGCATTTTTAGAGTGGTATACCCAAAGCCCCAAGGGACAGTGAGGAGAGAAGTTTGAAATAAGAGGGGAGCATAGTTTGAAAATTCTTCCCAGAAGATTCTCAGATAGGCCAGCCTCTACCCAGTTGATAATCACACCCTTGGAAGTGCAGGACTAATTGCATTTCAGTCCGTCATTTTGGTGATAGTTCGTACCACCCCCTTCCATCCTGTTGAAGCTACTGGACAGTGAGTCAGTCGTTGACACAGTATATACACTGTATCCCATCATTCCTTCCTGGGCGCATAGACTGGCAGACGGAAGTCCATTCAGCAGCGTCCCCAGGGTGTTATAAGGTGCTCCTACGATCTCCAGAACCTGCCAGGCCAGCTAAACTGTTCAATGGAGGTTACTGTTTTCTTACTGTTTGAAAATTGTAAGGAAGGATAAGTAAACCCTTTTTTAAAGACTAAAAGGTGAGTCTTACAAAGTTCATCTAGTACAAGCAGGTCCCAGTCCAGCCTGGTGTGGTTTAGTGCACCTGCCAAAAGTTGGGTTTCCGAGGAAGGGTCGCTGGGGAGAGGGGGGATTTTTATTGAACTCTCCACTCACCTCTCTCACACCTGATCCTGATTCCTTATTGGACCCGAAGGGTTGAGGCAAGTCTCAGCTGTGGACTCTGGGGAGAAAGAACAGCAAAGACATCACTTACATGAGCTTTCGCTTTTGTTATGGTCAGGAATTAATTAGTAGCCCCACAGAAATATAAAAAAGTGATTCTTAAAAGAATATCCATGATACCTTGAATAGCTTGGAACAGTTGTACTCCCTAGCATAGTGAAGAATGATAGCCACAGGTACAGCTATGCTGGAGGGAAGGGACTCACGTGGCCTCATCAATGTTAATGGACAGCTTCACATACACACTCAAGGGAGAAAGACTGTTGTGAGTTGAGCTATTTTCAGTCCTGATGGCTGTTAAATTAATATCCTCCTAAGAAGTCAAGTTATGCTCAAGTCTACCACAGGGGAACTACCATCTGCTCTAAAATCACTCTTCGGGGTAGATTCTCCGGGATTTCTTCTACCTACAGATGCTCCATCAATCTGGAAAGTAATTTCTACAAGGCCAGTTCCTCATCATATATCTTCCACTGTTCTCGCAACTACTGCTTTCAGGCTCCCCTCACCGTTAGAGAGTGAAACGTGCCGTGGGCGCCTCCCCGCCTGCCTCCCTCCCTCCCGTTCCCCCGCTTCTGATGGTCGAGCACTGCGTTGAGCAAACTCTAACCTTGGAGCTGCCTCATTTTTGCGCAATTCACTTTCTGTCTTTTTTTTCTTATTCCTCTATCAGGTGATGATACATTAAAATTATGGGACATCCGACAGTTTAATAAGCCACTTTTTTCAGCCTCAGGTCTTCCCACCATGTTCCCAATGTAAGTAGCATATTTTTAAATATTTGATAAGCATAAGAGAATGGAAAAAAATTTATTCACCTCTATGTCAATTTATATCATATGTCTCAGATCTTCTAGAAAAGGGATTTGAAGGGCGATTGAAATAGGTGTTTTTAAAAATGCATTTTATTTTTTTCTTTTCATTTTGCACATTCTTCAGACTATAAAACTTTTTTTGAAGCTGAAATGATATGTGTTCATGTGTCTGTGTATATATACTGGATGCGTGCATAGGTCTTAGTAGTAAAAATATTTTATGGGATTCAGTTATTCTTTTACTATTGTATAAACGGCAGGGTGGGCCTACATTTTCGTTGTCTTTTAAAATTTGAACACTTTGCTGCCAAAGCAAATTGTTATAGTTAGTGAGCATTATTATATATTGTTTTCTTAGCTTTTCTTACCATCACTTCAGTCGGTAATTCAGTGTCCTGGGTTTGCTCAGACTGTCTTGCTCTGGTAGCTGGACACTGTTGTCTCCGTCCTATGAAGTTGACAAGTAACTCACCTAGATATTCTCTGAGGCAGCTGAGGTGGAATGACCTCTACGCCCTACAGTGGGTGCCTAAGCCACATTTTCTGTTTTGGTAGAAATCAGTCTTCATGTCTGTGTTAGATAATGACCAGCAGGGACGGGAGGGTAAGGGAGCGGCGGTGGAGGAAGCTGTGTGATAACAGCGCCGACCCTAACACGGCCTGTTGCCCATGGCGTTTACCTATCGAGACACACAGATGGACAAACACGAGTTTATAGCTGATGGGAACTTTTTGAGCTGTTATGCCTGCTACAAGTAATGCTAACTACATAACTTGTTTGAATCGGGACTTAAATCCTTCACGATCAGTGGCCAGCCCTCCAGTAACAAGCTATTGAATCATAGCCACCAAGTAGGTTCCAGCGGAGCAGCCTGCTCCTCATTTCATGGTACTTGACTCGACAAAACTCAAATGATCTGAGTGGTGGTGGTAAAAAAAATAGTTCCAAAACTGGTCAGAGTAATCACTACTTAGACATTAGTCATACAATTTCTATTTGAGTACAGATACAGTGGATGTCTATGTGGAGTTTTCCCACACTCTTCACATGACAAAATATTCCCATGTGTCGAAGTTAACAGCACAGATCCTGGAGTCAGACTGCCCACCTTTGAATCCCAGCTGTAGCGCTTATTGTTGTGATCTTGGACAAGGTCCTTTAAATCCCTTCTGCCTCAGTTTTCTCATCAGTAAAATGGGGGTAATAATAGCTATCTCATAGGATTATTGTGAAGATTAAGTGAATTAATTTAAGTGCTTGACTTATTGTAAGTCCTATTCAAGAGTTACTTCTAATTACAGTGATCTTGCTTATGTTTTATTTAACCCACAGATTATTGCTACACTGTTGTGGGGTTATAAGCTTATACTTATACCCTCTTTTTTTTCCTGTAGGACTGACTGCTGTTTCAGTCCAGATGATAAACTCGTAGTAACCGGTACATCTGTTCAGAGGGGATGTGGCAGCGGCAAACTTGTTTTCTTTGAGCGCAGGACTTTCCAAAAGGTGTATGAAATAGACATCACGGATGCGGTATGTGTATTCTTTTTCCCCCAGCCTTGAGAATGAAGTGAAATTTGCCTGTTGGCTATCTTTTGTTTTGGTTTTGGTTTTTTAAATAGAACATAAGACCTGGCCCCTTGCAATGGTAGCAATGAACCATTGCATTTTTCTCCATCACAATGAACTTAATTTCTGTTTAGTTATTTGTATATTTATGATATTGTGGATTTAACTTCTACATCTAAAACAAACAAACAAACAAACAAACCCTTTAATTTTCTTTACAAATTAATAGGAGCACTAAAACACCAGCACGCATTCATTCCTGTCCTGAGAATGGACATGATATAATAATATAATAATAGTGAAGATTCGCAGAAGAAAATCTGAATTCCTTTAAAGTCTTTTAAAGTATGTATTATCATTTAGATGGTGAGGCAAATCATTGTTCTATTCTGTGTATGAAACAGGCCAATTAATGTCTGCGTAAATTTCCTTTGGCTCATTGTCAAATTCTTTAGTAATATCCTGTATCTTAAACAGTGCTCTTATGTAGGTTTCTGCAGTTGTTTTAGCTCTTTGTAAACATTTGAGACATATTAAGCACTTAAATGAATCAGACAATTGAACAACTGTTTTTAAATCACCAGTAAAAAGCTTCTGTCTCTAATGTTCTAGTATTACTTTGGAGTCTTAATTGTAGGCCCTAAATCTGAAACCATGGTATAGTTAGAGAGACAATACAGAAATAACAATGAGACTGATTCTAGTTGAGTACTTAAGTTTTATAGATCCTAACCTCATGATGTCATTTGAAATGTGCCAGCACTAATAATACTTTTTTTGGGTGCATCCGAGAGCCAACTAAAACACTAGAATCAAAGAAAAACATTCTTGATTCTATCAACTTTAATCTCAAAAAATAAAATTATTATAATTGAGCTATTCTGTTAAGCCTCTCGACGACTGTCCATTTCAGTATTATTCCTGGCGTTGTGTTTTTAAATTGTAACTTAAATGAAAACGTAATAAATTAAAGGGAGTAGGATCACGATTGCACCTTTGCAGACACGCTGGATCTCTGTAGTGCACAGAACATATATTTGCTGGGTTGCTCCCAGTTGCTTTTCTGGATAGATCGTTCTGCGTAGCACTTGCCACCGTCTCGCCTACTGTGTATTTGTTTGTTTTTGTCTGTCTCTGGCCACCGGACGTGAGCCCCTGAGGGCAGAAACTTTGTTCTGTTCACTGCAATACCTCAGTGTTCAGAAGAGTTGCCTGGTCACGGACAGTGTGTGATCACTCTATACTGGATGAGTGGATGGCCCTCTGTACCCATGGGTCTTTGAACTGTGGATTCAACCAGCCTTGGATTGAAAATATTTTTTAAAAACTGCAGAATGTTGACCCCTAAACAGTATAATGACTATTTACAGAGCATTTATGTTGTATTAGGATTCATAAATAATCTAGAGATAGTTTAAAGTATATGGGAGGATTTCAAATACTGTGCCATTTTATAAAAGGGACTAAAGCAGCCACAGATTTTGGTATGGGGGCCAGGGGTCCCGGAACCATCCCACTCAGATCCTGAGGGAGGATTGTGCTTGGGAGTGCAGGGGACTGAAGTGTGTTGTGGAGCAAGGTGTGTCTGGACAGGGAGGCAGGCAGACATGTCTACAGATGAAAAGGCAGACTGTCCTTGGCTACAATAACAAGAAGGTGACTTTGTGTTGTGGCTTTTTTTTTTTTAAAGCGAAGGAATGGCACCTTCAGATCTAGGTTTTAAAACAGTTAATTTTTACTGAAGTGTGAAAGTTAGATTTATAATATTCAGCGTTCATTTATATATGGAGGCTGAAGTTTATAACTTGGGAGACTGCATCAATCTTCTGGAGATAAAGAAAGGGAAGGGAAGGGAAGGAAAGGGAAAGAAAAGAAAGCAGGTTTTGGAAGAAAGACAGTGAGCTCTGTTGTAGGTCTGTTGAACCTGAAGTGCCCGTAGGACCTCTGGGTAGATGGATAGGTGAGTTTGGAGCTTAAGAGAAAGAAGACTGGGGAGAAGCACTTACAGCTCATAGTTGAAATGTTGGTTGCTGATTAGTTAGATTATGGAGAGGGCACAAAGAGAAAGAAAGTGAGCCCTAAGAAACTGAGCAGATGAAGGGAAGCAAACCAAGGAGAAGGGTCAGTAAGCCAGTGGAGTGGACCACATACAGAATTACTTTAGAAACACCCGGAGACAGATCTGGAGGTCTGTTTTAATAGGTGGATGAGAGAGAACTTCAAACCACACACCTTCCAGGGGACTTTGAAATCATTGATTTAGGATTTGTTGTCTTCTGTTCATTTCAGACAACATTGTTTTCTGTTTATATAGTGGACTGGTATGTTAAAAATACTTTAAACTGCCTCTTTGATCTATCTATTTTCTCAAGTTTTTTTTGTTTTGTTTTGTTTTTATCCTCACCCCAGGACATTTTTCCAATTTTTATTCAGATAGAGCGGGAGGGAGAGAGAGGAAGAGAGAGAGAGAGAGAGAGAGAAACATCGACATGAAAGGGACACATCGAGTGGCTGCCACCCGCACAACCCAACCAGGGCCGGGGACAAACTGCAACCGAGGCAGATGCCCCTAGTGGGAACCGAACCCGGGTCTCTCCAGACCGCAGGCCGATGCTCCAACCGCTGAGCCAAACCGGCCAAGGCAGAACTTGAAGTTTTTCTACCAGAATTAATTAATTAATTAATTTATTTATTTATTCATTTAGTTATTTATATTTATTTACTTACTACAAGCTGTATTCATGCCCCATATTATTATGGGTATTGGTTGAAAAGATATACTTACTGTTAAAATTAAGTTACAGTTTATATATTTACCAAAAGGAAGGAAAATTTCCTATTTAAGACCCATATGTCTGATTATACAGATAGCTTACTCATATATTGAGGAGAAAGTGAGGTCCAGATCGTGTAAAAAATTATTTCTTAAAAAAACACTACAAGTTTCCATGAAGATATCAACTATGTTTTCTTCTTTATTTAATTAGGTGAAGTTCTGAAGAGAACTTGAGTTTACATTCTTTTTTCTCACCTTATAGGATCTGATTCTTCATATATACATTTCAATGAGGACTATCAGATTAGATTTTGCATTTTAATTGTATTTTTCTGATTATAAAAATGGTACATATTTAGTCTAAGAAACTGACAATCTAGAAAAGGTCATTATGAAAGTAAATATCATATGTAATCACATCGCCCATAGATTATTCCCAGGTATGACATATAAATTATTCGATTTGATGTCCAAGAATATTGTCATATGTGTTAACATATAAAGTGACATACCATATAAAATGAAAGTATTGTCACTTTTATTTCACATAAAATTTTTTGTGTTCTTATTAGGGGAGAATATCGGTACTTTAAATCCAAAGAGATTGATTGAAGAGGAAGAATAAATGGGAATAACCAGGCCATTACGTAATAGACCCTCCATGAAACTAGCTCCTTATCTTCTTTTATAAGTGTAGGGAACATGCTGGCCAGTCAGACTGCTGTCATCTTCCGTTATCTGTACACACAGGAGAACAGAAAGGCCTTTCAAATGGATGGATATTCCAGAAGTCCTCGAAATTGGCTTTGGAATGTATCTTTGTTCTTACGTCTGAGTATAGATATACCTACTCTGGAAATTCCCTGCAAGCGAATGAATGAAGTCATGCCAGCGAAAGCTTGTCCCTGAAGGAGCCCGGCAGCTCGTCTGTTCTTCCGTTTCTTACTGTGAACGCACCAGTGACCTGTCTGACTGATACAAAGCCCCAGTTCAGGCAGGACTCACCTCTAAAAGTTTTCTAGAAATGAGTCAAATGGTGCCCTTGCCCAGTCAGGATTTACGAGGAATGGTACACAGAGGGAACTTGGGCTATCAGCAGTACAAATGCCAACTGAAAATGAACTTGGAAGAAAGACTGCAT